TCAAATAATAATAATTTTTTAAATAATATATATTGCTTTTGTGCGACGAAACGTAATTCGTCGTGCAAAATCATTTAAATAAACCCGTTGACAAATATATTTTAATCATGCGCGACGAAGAATTTCGTTGCGCAAAATGTGTATGCGCGACGAATATTTTGTCATGCAAGGACTACGCGCGCGACGAATATTATTTCGTCGCGCAAAGTTCATGTATCTCGCGCGACGAACGTGTCCGTCGCGCATTGTTTTTGCGACGACCAGCTTTTGTATTGAGGGATCCTTCAAATAATTTTATTTGAGGGACACCTTTTAGGGTCCCCTACCAATGTTGTTTCAACGATCCAAACCATCTATTTTTTAAGTCTACATTCATAGATCATCTTTGCAAAAAATTAAACAAATCGGAAACCATTTCGACCTCGAATTGTGTCATACAAAATCAATGAACACGGTGCTTCAAGAAAGTACTAAAATTTCAATAACTCAATTGGGCAAAGATCAGAGTGTTCCTTAATGACCTCTTTAGCAATGACTTCGATGATGGGTGATACGCATATTTTATATTATATATTTAACCCCATTTTTAATATAGTTTGGTTAATATTTTGGAAGAATTTTGATACTTTGAATTATATTTCTATTATAGGACTTTCGACTCCCTCTGGAGCAAAACATAATCAAATGGACGAATTTTGGAGTAATTCCAGTTGGAGGACGTTCGTGAGTCACTTGGCTTGATCGTATCAAAATTTAAGACTTTTCTACCAAGCGGTTATTTTCTGGCGATAAAATAAAGGAGCAGTGCGCGGTGCTGGAATAATGACGATTTGGGCTTTTATTGTGTTTTGGAGCCCAAGATGACCTCATATGGGTTCGTGGCCTTCTGGAGAAATGTTCAGAACGTTTTTATCTTTAAAACGAGCTATCTTGGGCCAGATTTGGAGGAGATTTGAGACCAAAACGTGGCTGGGCAGATTTGGGCAGATTCTCCTAATCCAATTTGGATTTTATATCCTAGTATTAT